GTTGGGCTTTTATTTATTTATGTATTTTTGTATTTATTTTATTTTATTGATATTTATGTATATTTATCTTTTCATTTTCGTTTATAATTATATATTTATACATCCCAACCAGATGAGAAAACTATATAGATACCCCATAATAATAATAATAATTTATTGTTTCTCACATAACTTTTACAAACAAATCATATTAAAGCTCTGTAGCACGTGGTAGTTGAAAACTGTGTTACAGGCTACAGCATTTTCCCTGTTTCAGTGACATATAGTTGTAGTGTGACAAACTATTTTAGCAAACGGTATAAAAAATTAATTAGAATGACATCAAAAATAACATATAGCTTAACAAAGTATAATGAGAGAGAACAAAAAAACAATAATAATAAGGTAAATAAAAAGTGTGTGTGTGTGTGTGTGTGTTTGTGTGTGTGTGTGTGTGTGTGTGTGTGTGTGTGTGTGTGTGTGTGTGTGCGTGTGCGTGTGTGTATGTGCGTGTAAACGTCGTAATATTGTATAGAATTATTTAGTGGAAACGATAAGATTCTCAGTAGCGTCATAGTCAAAATTACTTAACCACTTTAGTAAAATTGACTTAATATTATGATTACTTAGATAAGCGGTTTTAAAAATTGTATTTAATTTGTTGTACAGTAATGTAGCAGAATAGTTAAAGTGTCTTCTAGCGAAGTTGCTCTTGTAGGCAGGCAAGGGATAGCGGACCGTCCTCTTATCACTTATTTGTATTTGAGAAGCAGTACTTTTGTGATATTTACGAATAGAATGGAAGATATATAACTTTCGTATGGTAAGTACGCCACATATTTTGTATAAGTCCTCAGTCGGGTGTCTAAAAGGTAGGCCTTTAATAACTTTCAATAAAGCACGTTGTGCACGTTCGAGTTCGATAAGGTGTGTTTTAGCTGCCCCACCCCAAGAACTAATGCAGTAAGTCATAACACATTCTGCAAGGGCTTTATATACTTTCATTATAGCCTCATTATCTAAAACATCTCTTAAGTTTTTAAACACATATATGAGCTTCCTTAATTTATTACTAACAGCAGCGATATGTGCTAACCAATTTAACTTGTCATCAATAATTACGCCCAAGTATTTTACATTGTCACTACGCAATAAGTGCGGACAGTTACATTCAGGTGTGGTGGTTGGAACCTGTTACAAGGAAATTTATGTATTACTAATTTTGAATTTACACTCGGCTTGCAAGCATTTGTAATGCTAAAGCTTAAGAACTTTGTTTTAGACGTATTTAATGATAGTAGGTTGTCTTCCAGCCATGCAGTAACGGTTTTTAAACCTTCTTCAGCTAACTTGTATACTGAGTTCCAGGTTCGTTCCCGAAATAGAAGTACTATTTAATTAGTAAGTATTGTTTTAGATTTTAGATCTCTGTAGAAAATAATGTCACAGAAATATGGACAAAATAAGTACGGCACTGTGATCGCTAAGTTCTCTCAATAAAAGTAATTTTCAGTCTATTTTTGCTAAACCACTTGCACATCCTCGCACAATAAAATATTTCTCCATTTTTTAATGTTTCTTTTTGTCAAAAATTAACAAAAAATTACGAATGACGATTATTTTCTCACCAATGTCGCGAAGAAAATTTGTACATTATTCAACTAACTTCATCTACTTGTACTCATAAACAGCTCACTTCGCACCCACTACTTACTGATGGCAGCGCCGCTATAAATTCTACATTCTATAAATTCAGGGACAGGCGGGATATGCTCTATAGTTCGGCCGTTCAGAGAATGCGTTCCTGACACCCACAGACTAATATGATACTTACGTATCTGACACCTATCAGTTAGTCACGACTAGTGATGGGCACAAATTAACACTGAGTTCGTTACCGTTCCTCCAAAATGAACCGCCGTCTTATTTTTAAGATTATTTTCATTTTAAATTGGCGGAATCATTTAAAATTTATATTTTAGTAATTTAAGTGGAAACCAAAAAAAGGTAATATTAATATAATAATATTGTTTTATTTATTCTTTGTTACAAAGTTACAATCTGTATTTCTATGCAATAAAGTACATTGAATTGAATGTGCGTACAGAATATTTATCAGACTCCGATTCGCTTGAGGAGGTGGTGTCTTTATCATCATCTTCGCTTACATGTATAATTATACTATTATCAATAACGGAATCAATCCTGATATCTCGGCCAAAATGTTCCACAATCAGGTTTTTAGTCTTCTCAATAACCTTTGCCCAGTCATCTCTTGTGACTTCTCCGCAGGCTTCTTTTAATAGGGTCATCATCTTTTTCCTGCTGAATGCCGGGGAAGTATTGTGGCGGGCGGCGTAACCTTTTATTTGAGCCCAGATTAGCTCAATCGCGTTATATTGGCAATGATACGGTGGAATTCTTAGAACGCGATGACCGTACTCCAGAGCCAGTTCATCGATTTCGTATCGCACATTTTCCGCTTTATTTTCTTTAACTAATTTAATTAGCTCTGGTTTTAGCATCTGCATATTTGCGTCAATGCTTTTTGCTTGTAACCAAACCACCATTTCTTCTTTTTTATTAGCTTGTGTAGGTGGTTTCTGTATTTGAACCGAGTGATAGGAGGCATTATCCATGAATATTACGGAAGGCTCTGGTAGGCTGGGCAAAAGCACGTTCTGGAACCACTCTTTAAATGTAGTGGCATTCATTTCCTCGTGGTAGTCATTTGTGGTTTTTGATTGAAATGCCAGGAAAGCGTTCTCCACAAAGGCGTATTTTGCAGAACCTGCGTGGCATATTATCAGACCGGCCCCCTTACCCATTGGTACTTTCGACGTTGACGCTTGTGTATCATCCGTCCAAGAACGGGAAACCGTGTGATTGGCGTTTAGCCATGTCTCGTCAATGAACACGACATTATCCCAGTTATCAATATTTTTTTGCTTCTCTCAAAAAACTTATACGTTTTAAAATTATGTCGTATCGTTCTAATAAAATTTTTCTTTTGTCTGTTTTTATATACGAAAAACCAATATCTTTTAAGATTTTGGTTAAAGCAGTTTTACCCCCGCTAAACAGTCCAGCTTCTCTTAACGATGCCAAAAGCTTCTTCCTGTTGAGATATTCATTTCTGAAATAGTAACCATATATATGATTTCTGATTGCATCGGCGTCAAAGGTGTCAATATCTGTCACGGGTTTAGTTCTACGTTTCTTCTTCGGAGTACGTAAAATATTATCTTCCGTGCCAGTAGAGCCGAACTTTTCTTCATTATTTGTTATTTAATATTTGTTATCGTTCGTTTGCTAACTCCAAGCGCCTGAGAGACGCGTTCTTGTACTTGTTCGACAGGTAACAGGGGTCCGCCATTTTGCCGCTCCCGCTCAAAGTAATCTTGCAGCTTGATGATTAACTCACGGACTCCACTTTTCAATGTTTGTCCACGTTTAGGCATTATTATGCACCAAAGGTAAAAAGAACGCAATACAAAACACAATCGAAGTCAAAGTTGATAAGCAGAAACAGTCCATTAACCTGTACGCTCTGACAGCGCGCGCCGTGTTATACTCCAGTTCGCTCGGGACCTTAATGGCGGGAAAATTTGTAAGTTAGAAAATTTTTTGCTATATTGCTAATTTTGCTATATTTTCACTTTGAACGAAAGCCGGGTAATCAAATAAAAACAGATCGAAAACACTTGAAGAACGTAGTCTATGCGCACGACACGACAACAGACGACTGTTTTAGCGTCACAAAGTGGCGGCCCATAACGCCATTTGGGGTTACCATTTCCAACCTAAATATAAAAATGCTACTTTCTTTCGCGCGTTCGGTTTGGTCGTAGTTTTATTTTTATATTTAATAAAAGTTATCTTATAGTCCATTATTTTAAAATTCTTAAAAAGAAAAACAAAACTTATTATTTTATAAAGTATAACTGTATAAGAACAGATTACGATACTGTTATTGCCTGTTATTGTTATGTCAGCGCTTTATATTTGCACAGCACTACAAATATAAAGCGCTGACATAACCTTGTAATAGCGCAGTATAGATTTAGAAAAATATTGTTTACCGAGTTATTTGACACTCAGTTTGGCACAAAATTATAACATTCATTGATTATTGATATAATAATGTTGTTTTAATGCTCATCAATTGTTAAAACGGTAAACAACCAGCAAAAATATTTTTATCGTAACTGCAACGCCATTACAAAGTTACGTCGTCAGTTAAATCGCGACGTGTCAGGAACGCATTCTTTGAACGGCCGAACTATAGTACTTAGCGATCGTTCTCCTTCTCTCTAACCTCCATGAGGAGAACGATCGCTGTAGAATATAGTGTCCCAGAATTATGGTTAAAATAAGTGAGGTGCTGCGATTGCTAAGTTGTGTCAATAAAAGCGGACTGTTGTGCACTAGTTTGAAATGATTATAATATCTTTCAAAGAAAAAATGAAAATAACGAAATTATTAGTATTTATTAATAAATAAATTATAAATTATGTTTTTTTTTTATAATTTTAATTATTATAAACATTTTAAATAGTTACAAATATAAATTATTAATTATTATTTATTTATTATTATTATTTTTGATAAATCGCCGAAAATACGTTGAGAACGATTTTGAAAATACAAATTTTGAAAGCAATAAATTAATTATTGTAAAAAGAATTATGGAGAAAGTCTTTGCAATAAAAAATTTATAAAAAGTTTTTAAAATTAGGACTGTAGCTATAGTGGCGCCACCCTTATTTTACGCTTTCCCATGGACACTTTTTATACAGATGTATATTTATACAACCATTGATACTATGCTATATAGGCAATACAACTTTATAATTTGTGGCTCAATCCACCGCAGCTGTGAACCGCAGTATTTGTATTTGATTATAAATGGTTGTATTTATGTTTATGAGGCTGTTTCGTATTTTTATCCATTTATTTTGACGTGAAAGTGTGTGAAAATTAAGTGTGAACGTTACTGTGTATAAAATAAAATTTCGACAATGTTGCGATCGTTATTAGACAAATTTTGGGATGAAGAGATTTGGCTGCCGCCGAATACAACTTGGGATGATATAGCTCCCGGTCCTGACAAAGCTGTACTGTATAATGATCACAGATACCTTCTCTATCCTATACCAATGGCAATAGTACTCATAGGTCTGCGACATTTACTTGAAAAGTAAGTATTACACTTCAGTGATTTCCATCAGTAAAATGTATGTTAGTATGCCAATATTTCACCGCATTTCTTGTTCACTGCGTTAGTATGCTTTATTTATGAGATTTTCAGCAATGAAATTGACCATATATTCGTACAGACAGCTCGAACATTGGAACTACGAATTACTATTAAAAAGATAAAAAAATTCGGACTACGCGTCAATATTTTGTTTTCGTTGTTTATAAATTGTTATTACGTTAATAAAAATACTCAAAAAATTTTTTTGTGATTTCTGAATTATGGCTATTGTATTATATATATTATATTATTTTATTTTATAACATTTTGTAATGCAAATTCCTTCAAATTTACCTAGCATTTTGGCTTGTACAGATGTCTGATGATTTGCCCTGGATTTCCGTTGAAAGGACATTAGTTGTTGTTTTCAAAGTGAAATGTTTGAATTCAACCTGAGACCAAAGTTCTGTACTAGTATTTCTTTTAAATTCTTTGCCTATTTTGAACTAGGAACATAATATCGAATTTACATAGAATAAATACATCAAATTACATAAATTTGCCATCTCACGGTGTTTTAGGTTTTTGTTGGCACAACCTAACTTAAATTTCCGTCAGCATAAATGAACATAAAATGTAACCCAGAGGGGTAGGAGCTAAGATTCCATTTGGCACGCTGACACCCTCTCTGCCTCACTGCACATCATACATCTACGCATGCATGCTCGTTGGTTAAGGGTACTCCTAATTTGGCCCGTTTTCAATAAATCTCCAATTTGGTCGATAAATTTTCGTCTAGGACGTCCCTTTCCGACTCTGCCATTCACTTCTGCAACATAAATTTTCTTTGTCACTCTTTCCTCATCCATTCTTGACCAAACCACCGAAGCATTCCTTTCTTAATCCTGGTCACAACATCATCTTGCAAACCACACTCTTCTCTTATCACACAATTCTTCACCCTGTCATGCAGATTCAGCCCTAACATACTCCTTAACGAGCGGATTTCTACTGCATTTATTCTACTCTCGTGCTTCTTCTGCCACACCCAACTTGTCACTACCATACGTTAAAGAATAGGGACCAATCTGTACAGTATTGCTTTTGAATTGCCATACGTGCCTTTTTTGACACATTTTGACTCTTCACAATAGAGTGCAGGGCCCCATTTACTCTGTTTCCTTCGCATAAATGAACAATAATATAAAAGTAACCATAGTTGCTATTTTAAGTGTTTGGAAAGTAGGAAAGTCTGTGCTCAGCTGTAGGATATACTTAGGCTGTAATATATTTTTTATTAAATTCACTTTTAAAAATATTTCATAATTTTAGTCTAGTAACAGTAGACTGATAAAAATAGGAGTTTGTTATCTATACATATTGATAAAATTGAAGTATCTCTCTGTACTATTTAAATAACTGTCTTCTATTAAGCTTAGGGGATTATTTGTGTGCTAATAAGTTATGAATATCTATCTGTCTGCCTGTAATGAAACTTTATATTCATATTTAGTAATTTCAAGAGTGGTTTAGGCTATATTTTATTCGAAAAACTTAGGGATTTGAAAAAAAAATTTGTTATAGCTAGTCACTAGTAGTAACTAAAAAGGTAAAGAAAATAAATTATAATCTGACTGAATTAAAAGAGTATCAATTTAATTTTTTTATGGATCTTCACTCTTTACTAGCTCATAAAACCCATTGTTGTGCATGGCTCTCACACTGTAGGAATGATTTGCCATGTATAGAAGATGGAGCAGGCAGATTACGTTACTAGACATCTCAACTACTTACTCTGCTTCCTATAGATTTTATTCATACAACTTTTCATTTGCTTATATTATATTTATGTTATGTATTAAAGTCATGCTGCTTTATTATGATTGCACGAATGGGTTGGCTTGACTGAGGTAGGACCAAACCCTCACAGAATACCAGCATAAGATAGCAGCTGCTGTGTTTTGTATGGTGACTGTAGAGAATCAGAGGCCTTTTTTACTGTAAATGAGACATTCCATCTTAATCCTCAGGGGTGACAACGCATCTCCATATTGATAATTAACCAAGATTAGATCTAGACATCTATGAGCCACAGTATCCACTTACCATCAGGACTGTGTGTCCATTCGACACCCTATTTTATAAAAAATCTTATGGATTTAACTGAGGATTAAAAAATTTGCCTTCAAAGAAAAATGCAAAAGGCGCAAACTTGTTTCTACAATTTAGGAACATAGGCACACATAGGCACTGAAAGCGCCTTCAAATCACATTGTTACAGCAAGATATGTTAGCCATAAGTATGGGGCTTAGTATCATTATTATATTGCATTCATTGCTATCAATAAGAATTTTTTTAATCTACATTGAATAGTTAATCTATTCTAGTCTATCAACCAACCTCAAACTCCTCATGGCTGAGTTGAGTTTTGGATCTTGACAACATTATGCATGTTTTATACATATAAACCTTCCTCTTGAATCATTCTGTCTATTGATGAAAACCGCATCAAAATCCATTGCGTAGTTTAAAAATATCTAAGCATACAGCAGTCGGGAAGCGAGTATTAAGCAAACTAACTAACTAATTAGTTATTGTTATTTCTTACTCTCTTCTTTTCTGCTTAGAAGTCTGTCGAAGTCTGTCTGTTTCTGTCTGTCTACCACACTCTCCTATTTCTGCGGCCAATGATCTACACCTGTATTCCGGCCTGAAGTTGTACCCACTACCATTTCTAGCCTTCTTTGTTTGAAATTGGTTGCTGGTGTCTGGTCTAGTCTACTCTACCACACCTGCCATACTGCTCTGCCTGTAGGTGTTGTAGCCACTTGCCATATTGTGGACTGTAGGCTTGTTCATCAATATCTTATAAAAAATTGTAGTACTCATAGTACTTAAGATGCCATATTAATTAATTCTACTATTATCATCTCTTGTTCATTATCTCCCCTGATAGAATTCTGTCCCCATGTTAAATCATAGAAGAAGTTACAGATAAATAGGTTATGTTTAAACATTGATATTGAAATGGTAAACTTTTTTGTTTTAGATATTGGTTCGCGCCATTTGGAAAATCACTAGGTATTAAGAACACAAGACCAAAGAAAGCGCCAAATAACCCCAAACTGGAGGCGGCCTACCAGGCATCATCCAAAATTAGACATAAGCAGGTATTTATAAAAATCTCCATTTAATTCTGTAAATGTTAAGTACTATATTTTTATAATAATAACTGTGTACCTTACATGGCCTAATGGTCAGAACACTTGGTTACTATGTCGCGGATCATAATGCTATCTCCTGGTAGGAGCCAATTTATGTGCTTCCTTTTTTTATAGAATAAGGATGACAAACACAGTTCACCTGATGGTAAGTCGATGCTGTGACCTATAGATATCTACATATATATACTCAATTAAGTATGAAAATGCAGATGCATTGTCACCCCTGAGGAGTAAGATGGAATGCCTCATTTCCAGGTCTACGTACGAACTACGGCAGTGTTAATTAGCTATTTTACACTTGTCTTCTGTAAGAGCATGGTCTTATCTCGGTCGACCCATTCGTGCTACAAACATAATATAATATATGGAGTGTGGCTCTACCACATATAAAGTGTTTTAACTTTAAACTTATTTGTTATATTTACGCGAAAACTACACATTGACTAAAACTACTTTTGAACTTTGAACTTGAAGCTGGCAACAGTTGATCGTGTGCCTGCTGTACTACCATATGTCAGAGGTGTCACAGACAAGATTGGCTACTTCTTGAAGCGAGCTACTATTGAAATATTCTACAAGCCGCAGAAGAAGATAAGTCAGTTCTTACAATCTGTCAAGTGTCATATTCATTTACATGATGCAGGACAAGCTTGATTGTGAATGTAGTCTCTCATATATAGAGCAAACAAAAAGATCAATTAGAACCCGCATAAAACAACATATAGCTTACGTAAAATATTAACATTCCGGGAAGTCTGTAGTTTGTGATTATATTTTAGACGGCCCCCACCATTACATCAGATTTGATAGACCACAAATCCTCGCGAAAGAACATCGATTTCTACTAAGGATGAATGAAAGATTATTGAAATTAAAAAAACATCCCAATTTCAAGAGAGAAGGAGGCTGGGCACTACCACCTGCGTGGATCCTGTAATTAATTAAATTAAAACAAAACCCAAGCAATACCACTGCAAGACTTCAAGCCGCGATAGGTACGTTCCGCTTAGATCGGACCTTATATAATAATTAAAAAGCTAAAGGTACTCCGGGTTAACACTGACATTGGGATGTCAGTCACCTCGGTCACCCGTGACCATGGGTGCTAGAAAGCACCCGAAACGTCAGGAATTAAAATCAAGTAAATCAAATGCAATAAAATCCGTAAAGGTTGTTTTAATCAATGCCCTTATGTTATTAACTATTTTCTCCTAACCTACGTACAATCTTATCGTAAACTTTATATTGGGCAGGGATGTAATAAAATGAGTCAGTTTGCCGACGTGTCATGACATGACGCATCTACCAAATCATTGCTAGCAGCACTGTAGAGTTAGCAATTGACGTTTTACTATTGTTATAGCTAAATGAAAACTATAATAATGGATGAAACTAACGATAATTATGTAATAGTCGCGTGTCATATACGTAACTACCGACCGCCCCGGCTTCGCACAAGTGATTTCTGGATCTCGACAACAGCGCCACCTACCGGGTCCAAATGTGAATATAAACCATCTAGGCACCCATTCAAACGTACAAAAAATTTCAACAAAATCGGTTGGATGGTTTCAAAGTCTATAACGGACATATGTAGTGTAGTAGACCAGTGCCAGCTCCTTCCACTTGACCGCATCCAGTGCAGAGCGGCCCGAATCATCGACGACCGACTGCTTTCCGATCGGCTCGATTCCCTGGCGCTGCGAAGAGATGATGCATCCCTTTGCATTTTCTTTCGCATCTCCACGCGGAGTGCTCTAAGGAATTGTTCGGATTTATCCCAGCCGCCCAATTTCATGAACGCACATCGCGTCAAAACTCCGACTTTTTTTTTTGTTTGCCGACCCATCGGTGTCCATGTCTAGTCTCTGTCGAGACTGACCGCCGTGACCGAAATTCGGTCTGTTGACACAACACTAGTGACAGTGACACTTATAACTACTGTGCAACTTATAGCTTCTGATTACTCAGAATTAGTCACTATTGCTGAATTTGGTCAGTGGGACAATACTATGAGTTGCGGGTATTTGTTATTACTTTCAGATAAGATTAATTCAAAAAATATCTTATCAGATAAACAGTTATATGAATGTGGTAAAAATTACACGTGGTAGAGATATTTATCTTATCTTTACATTCGTATTTGTAACTCATATTCAGATTGCCTTAGCCGTAAGTCTAGTTAAAATAGCACTAGCCTGTGTGCGCCTGCTTGTAGGGATGGGCCGGATATGGATTTCACCGAATACGAATATTCGGCCGAACGGTAACATTTATACCGAACCGAATATTCGGCCGAACATTATTCGGCAGGATTACCTCGGTACCTAACCAATTTATGTCGAAACTTGTTACCCCTGCCCCCCCCCCACGCACATGAGATGATATAAAGAAAGGGACTATTTTTTGAGAAAAAAGTATTTCTTTGTGTTATTCTTAGTGAAAATTTAGTATTGATGATGGTGGCGGGATTTACTATTTGGACCTATTTTAGAGAAACTGACGACTGTAATGTAATGTTTCTTCGTTTGATTCCAAACAAAATTTTATCAAGCTTCCTATTTGCTATAACTGGAAATAAATCTACAGTGCCTCAAAAAAATAACGTTATATAAGTAGATTTAAACCATAAATAAAATATACTTTCAACAGCAAAATTATGAAAGACATGGCATTATTCAATTCATACATTTCTATACAGTGTACTCTTTGAGTACCTCTTTAAGGAATGTTCGGTGATTTAGCCGAATATTCGACCGAATACGAATATTCGGTAAATCTGCCGAATATGCCGAATACCGAATATGAAACGAATATTCGGCCCACCTCTACTACTTAGTGGTTTTGTAGCTCATAGTGATTTATTTACTACTTATTATGTCCACTATTATATAGCTTTATTGACTGTATCGTTGGTCTAGCCGGTTGCTGTTCATGAGGTCCCGGGTTCGGATCCCTGGTCGAGTAAAAATTGGTTATTGGGGTTTTCTGTCAAGCAACCCGGAGTAAAGAAGTTAGCGATATTTCACCCCCGTGCTTCGGAAAGCACGTTAAGCCGTTGGTCCTGCGCCTTATCTCTCTCCTGTAAATCACATCAAAATCAAAGACGTATTAAAAAGTATAGACAGGTTACACACTAACATTATAAAGTGTATTTTAAGGTGGCGCAGGTAGTACTTACTATACCTACCTACAGTTATTTATTATGACACGTTGCGCTAACAAAACGAGACAAATGATAGGGCATACCTATCGTTAGAAAAAGATGAATAATATACATTATTATTTACGTATTGATTGCTGTTGAGCGCTCATTGGCGCGACTGAGAGCGTGCCCGACTGAATGCGAGTCGGGCAATTGCCTGGCTTTCGTATTGCCATTCTAGAGCTGATACGAAGTAATCTAAGTTTAAAAACATCTTAGATCAAAATCGGTCGATTTGTTCGTGAAATAAACAATTTTGAAAAAATAATAATAAAAACGTGGTTTTCCAATGTAAAAGGAATTTGAAACGCTTTGATATTGAAATTAGCGGAAAATTCCTGGGATGACGTGCAGGGTCAACCAATTTTTTACATGGGGATATGCCTACGCATACCCACCTCGCGGGGGAAAGGTCGGGTTATGTCGGACTCGCACCGACTAAAACCCCATGGTGTACCACCTTCGCCGCATATTTGCGGGGCCACGGGAACGCTTTCGCACACATCCGCAGTCCCACCAGCGTTAGCCACCCTACAGCGGCCCCTCCTCGAGATAGGATAACCTCGATCCCTTTCTTAGGTAAGGCGCACCGGAACATATGACGCACTAGCCTTCTTGACTACAATGGCGGATCTGGTCTATGGCTCCGTTGCCAACCAAGATTCGGCTGCGGAGGGTAGGTAGCGGAGCTTCGAAATACCGACACTCCTCTCCCGCGCGGTCCCACCACCACAGCCCCGTCAGAGTCGCGGAGGATAGGGCGAGTGGCGCATCTCCATACCAACACTCCTCACCACAATAGCCCACGTCTCCACCTCGGCTGCAGCGGAGGGGAAGAAGACACTCCTCATGCCGCAGCCCACCAACACACATCCGAAGTAGGCTCGCCAAGTTCACTCGGAGTGGCCACCACCACCAAACCACGGCTACTAAATCCCCCGTCACGACAAGGCGGGAACCGGTTCGGGGGGTAGATGACAATGGGCTACAGTTTATACCACATCATCAGGTGGACTGTTTCCTTATTCTGAAATAAAATAGTAATTGTTCTTTTTGTAATGTTTTTTTTTTTTTTGGAAGAACAAGGTGATAATGGGACGGTAATTTTTAAACAATCTATCCTCCAATTTTATTTTGATACACTGAATCCCTCGACTCTAATTTCAACTTTATGTGTACTTTAGTTTAGGTGATTATAATTTTTTTAATAGTATAAGGGTGACAAACGGGCACACAATTCACTTGATGGTAAGTGGATGCTGTGATCAATAGACATCTATTTTTAACTTCGATTAAAAATCAAAATGCAGATACGTTGTCATTGTGGCTCCGTGGACCGTGGCATTCAACGTGGCTCCACCACGTAGAATAATAACCCACGTAGAAATCTAAATCTTGCTTAATAAAATATTTTCATTAATACGTTTTTTATATTCAAATTGTGTTATAATAATAATAAAACTCATAAATTATAATCACGTTCTTGTAGCATTTGTTGATACGATCTCACACCTGATAAATTTTGTAATGTTGCGTTTTATACTCGTATTTGATCTTATTACTTAATTACCGCAGTAATAATAATAATAAGTGTTTATTTCAGACGTAAGGAACATCTATAGATTGTTAGTATGTTAGTAACAATTTTCCTTAACTTCTAAGTTAGTATGAAAATGAAAATGAAAAATGTTTTATTAACAGAAAAATATGTACAAAAGGTAATATCTGTTGGTTTCCTCAC